ATTACAGAACCGATTTAATATTAAACCGGTTTAACCCGAATTTCAAGTTGAATTACATCAACCGGTTCCAACCTCTACTTTGTGGTCTTACAAATTTGTTTGTGCCAGCATGTTTTAATTATTATTTGTGTTAATGAGTACTATGACTTTTTGACAGTTATTTCAACCAGTATATAACAACCCTAGCGTTGCCTAGAAAAAAATAAACTGGATTATTTTGCTGCTTACATGTAATTTCGGATACTGATCTCTGGATAAATTATGAATTTTTATTCAATGAAATAAATATTCGGGGGGTTTTTTTTTTTTAACGGGATTCAGTTTTCAATAGAAACTGTGCCAAAAAGTTTTAAAATTTAAGCAAAGATATTCCAACTACTATCTGACCAAAATTCAATTAATAATTTTTATTTAAATTCTACGGTATTCAAAAAAAAAAAAAACATTCGTTGAATTTGGTCAGATGGTTGTCGAGATACCTTCGCTAAGTCTATTACAATTATACATGGGTGCCTAAATTGCCCATCTTAATAAAAAAGTAATTACGGTATTTAGGCAGCCGAAATTAGTCTTATATAGTGCCGAAATTAATATTGCCGAAATTTTTTGAACTATTTTCATCAAAATACACCATATAATATAGTTATTTCGAAGGGTTTCATATAAAAAATTTGGCAATGCAGAAATGTTTGCCGAAAATATGATTTTTCAAAATAATTTAGACACCCATGTATAATTACAATAGAAACTGACTAAAAATTTTTTAATACTTTGAAATCCTTTTTTTGATTTGAATCCTACGGATCTGGGTAGTTTGAAAAACAAGGAACCCAATGATATCTTCGTGATCATTACACAATAAGTAGGGTTAGTGTTAAGGGTTAGGCCAATTTGTTAGTGCTTGCAAACAAATAACATAATTGGATAATTTTACGTTATGTAATAATCTCTGAGTTCCTTGTTCCTCAAGTGTTCCTTGTTGTCCGGTTTAGGCTCAAGGTACAAAATTAAAGCTGTAGTATTTCATTTGGTTACCCAATTCGCCAAATATAACACGCCTTGATCGACTCAATCTATTGTAGGTTACATGAATAAATTATGGTCTCCGTACCAGGTGTCACCAGATCGAATAATCTGATAGGTATTAGAATAATTCTCCGGATATCAATAATAAACCGATATCCAGATCGGATATTGTATAACGGATATCGGATGTCTTACAGTAATCGATTGGAACACTAATTTTAAAAAATATAAATAAAATAAAAGATCTTGTACATATAAATTTTGACCTAAATATTATTTATATTAAATTTCTAGTAATCAATTTCCGGCTATATTTGGTCAAATAATTTATTTCATACAAATACACATATAATACACCATTATATAAATATAATATGTATTAAAATTTCACATTAACGTATACAAAGATTAAAAAAATTTTTTTTTTCTATAACAAATTATATGAAATTCCAGGTTTATATTTATATATTAAATCAATAAAATACATGTATTAGACAAATTAAATTTGATAAATTAATTTCAATATTGATTTAATATTAATTTGAAATAAAAATCTTGGTTTAAAAATTTTAAGAAAGGAGCTTTTTTTTTTCTAATAAAAATCACACCTGATTTTATAAGATAAAAAAGGTAATTACATTAATAAAAGTTTTAATAAAATTTACCGGATTTATTAATTTAATTATAGATTTTTATATCAAATTATGTAATAATTTTCTATGTGCAGGTTTAAAATTTAAACATTTTGCATATCATGCAACATTATTTGCATAATGTCTCTAATTTATGCTATTAGTTTGTGCTATTAGTTTGTGGCATTAATGTATTGAGCAAATGACGGATAGGTGTAATTGGTTTCAGCATATGGCTGAGTAATATTCATACATGTGGCGACAGGAACAATATATTCGAAGGAACTTTTGAGCGTGGGGTACCATTGCTGAGCTTTTGACATGGTTTCACTATTCAGTTCATGTTCAAGAATAAGTGCACCAGAATTAGCGAAGGTGCCATTTTTAGCCTTACTGCAAAATCCTGAGAAATATTGATCAATTTTAGCCGATGTCAATTCACCAGCAGGTTGCATTTGCCAATCATTACTGTCTGTAAATGACATAATTAATGTTAGATTAGAGCGAACTCTACACAGTTTAACGATCAAAATATTTACGTACCGAGATTCCAGACATCAGTTGACATATTGAGTGCCGCAGCAATCGCACGAACTCGATCATCAACGTCACCATAAGGCTGTTAACAGAGAAAATAAGTTAAATGACTTAAGTCTATTTCTTAGTAGATTATTATTTATATAAAGAAAAATGAAGCTTACAGGACGCCAGCAAAGAGGTGTAACACCCATGACATACTTAATAACCTTTCGAGTATAGTATAATTCCGCGAGTACTTGTTGATTAGTAAGAGTAGTCATGTAACGGTGAGACCAAGTGTGAACACAAATTTGATGACCATCAGTGAGGGCACGCTGAGCTTCATATGGCCAATCAGCAACATTTGAACCAATAAAGTACATGGTCGCTTTTTGGTTGTTTGCCTTAAGGAAGTCATAAAATTCATTATGAGTGCAGTTTGGACCGTCATCGTATGATAAGCCCAAGGTATCTTTGGAGAACGATTATCCCAATATTAGCAACAATAATTTAAACAAATTGAATACTGAAAGTCTTTTTTAACATATTATTACAATTGAATTCTTACTAGGCTCAGGACAATAAGAAATATCGGGTTTCAGTCCAGGAACTTTGGGTGTTACGCACATATTGTAGGACCACCAACAATCTGGGTCGCTACTAGGATAACCAGACGAGACTAAGTTCCCATCAGAGTCCAATTCATGAGGTTTAATATCAGGTACTTTACTCCAATCTATTGAGTTGTAGACACTTTTGAACTCATCCGTGTTAAAACATTCATCTCCTGGAGTTGTCCAAACTGTTGGATATCCAGATTTAAAATCGAATGGGGTACTGTACGGCACACATTGCTGAGCGATTACAGCAGTAGCTAAAGTGACTAAAGTAATAAAGAATGAATTGAAGGCCATAATAAATGACTAAAATTTCATTATATGATGTATGAAAAAGGTGTGTTTTTGTTAGATAATGTTTTTTTAAAAAATATTAGATGGTATTAAATGAAAGGGATAATGTTTTAGGGTAGGAGGATAAGAGAGGGTAAATATTGTAGGAAATAAAGAAAATTTACACTAGATATATATTTTTTTACGTCGAGTAAATTTTATAAGCAATATAAATTCTTTTAATGCCAAGATAATCAATATCAATTGACTGCAACATGGCTGCAAATAATGAAACACACATGCTACAAAGTTTATTGTAAAATGCCACCGGATATTTCCGTTTAATTAGGATAATAAGAACTGCGTCATGAAAGGAAATGAGCTATGTGGTATCTAATTTTTTTTGTATCAAGGTTTGGAAAAATTTTAAATTAGATAACAATTTTTTATGCTTTTATTTGTTATTATATTAATTTTTAAATGAAATTAGATGTAATTTATTAGGTTAAGCAATGCATGTGCGGAGTATTCAGGATACCACAATTGCATAAATGTTTGCAACTTACCGAATTGGTAGAAAATTTGCGGAATTTGTAGAATTCTCGGTTAAAATAATACATTTTTATTTATTTTTATAAATTCGCTTTTATGAATTTGCAGAATTTGAGACGGAGCTTATTGTTGGTTCGAAATAATACTTTATCAATTGTCTTACAACAGTTATCATGAATTTGGAGCACCTAATAAAAAATTGACTGAATGATTATTTGGTTGATTTGACAAGATTTATTTTGGTATTGATCGATTACATAAATAAATATACAATACAGGGCAAAAATCACATATGTATCACTTTGCGGAACGTAACAACTAATAATCTATTAAATTACTGTATTCGATAATTTTGCCCAGAATTGGTGTGTAATTTATGCCAAGTTTCTCGGAAGTTATTGGCTAAAGTTTAATATTATGAATTATTATAATTACATTGTAACAATGAAAAGTAACAAGAAATATTTTCATGTTTGAGTTTGCCAGATAACGTATATATCCTTGCTAGATTTCGATGTTATATATAGTAATGTAGATGCCATGCAAAGCTGACAGCGTAAATTTCGATCAGATAATTTATCACTTTTTGAGTTTAAATTGTGAATCATATGGGCGGAATTTTTAATTAAGTGATTATTAACAATTACAGCAGTTTTCGTGGCACTCTAAAAAAATTTAGCACGAATTCAATAACTATTTACTGTATCTCAGCATTACACAACATATATCTAAATGTGATACTTTTAAAACATATACGTTAGAAAATAGTTGAAGAGAACTTGGAAGGCTTGTCAGTGGTAATCAATTGGATGTTGACAGATCTTCTATGGATCGAGTTCTCAACCAATTTCAAAAATACGGCTATGTTGAAGAATTACTGCAATTTAAATGAATATTACACAGTACTACAGTACTATGAATATATAAAAACTTTACTATTAAGACATCAGAAAATATTAATAAAATATTAATAAAATATTGTCCTTTTATTTCAACTTGTGTTGCATTTTTTTCAAACCAATTGATAAATACTTGATCGTATTGACCTTTTTTTTTTTTATTACACCTACTCGTGTTATATGGGTGTTACATATTTAAAAAGCCCATTTTTAACAAATTTTCAAAAAAATTTTTTACATGATTTTTGAATAGATAATAAATAATCAAAAAAAAAATACTAAATAAAAAAAAATTGCTATAAGTTACCGAAGCTAATTATGCAATAAAAAGATTCATAAAACGAATTTGAAGTAGAAAATATTATAGTGTATGTGTCTTTATTTAAGTGGCACCAAAGGAAAATGGGACATTTGTTTATCATTGGTTTTTCCTGGCGTCATTCACTTGTAGATCATTTAATTAAAATTATGTTATTCATTAATGAAGATCTATTAATTGGTAATAACTATCTCTGCCATAAATATGTACAAATTAAGCATGAGAATTTAATAAATATGTTAAATTGATATTGCAATGTAATATAATATTGATCGAACAATGTGCTGTAACAGTAACACAACCTTTTTTATTGATCATTTATTTATGCGGTGTTGCGTAATTACCAAAATTATTAAATTATAATCCATTACAGATAATAATAATATGCAAAATTGAATTATATAATTGTATTTGATTGGTTGACTATTTTTCTTGCTTGTAAATTGCTTATCTCTATGTTACGCTTATGAAACCACTTATAAACCATAATTTGATTTTTGCTGCAGCAATGCAGCTATGATTTAAAATTGTATAATATTGAAACACGGGATGATACATAAATGTAACTTATTTTGGATTAAATTCATTTCAAGGTAGTATAAAGTCCATAAGGCTCGAATGCTCGCTTACTATATCTAGAATTTGAAACTGATTTATTTCTTTAAATTCAAATTTGTTTAATTAGTGATCAGTTTCGAATTTAAATTCTAATTGTTAAATCGAAATTCGGATTTATTCATTATTGGTCAAATTACAGAAAGTAAAATACAGTAGCATCGTTGTATGTGCGTGCGTGCGTATGTACTGCACATACTGCAGACTGTTAATGACGATAATCTAGCAAACCTATTTTATCATTACAAAAAGTGTTCGAATACCATATACAGTTTTGGTCTCTATACGGTTACAAATTGTGACATTGCAATTCGGTAGATCCAGTTTTAATACTAATTCGAAGGTGGTCTGGTTCCAAATTCTTGTCTTATTAATTGATTGCCAAAGGTGGTAAGATATAATAGGTATATTTTGAATCCACACACAGGCACAAACTTTATCATAAATCATCAACATACTAATTCGGGCCAATGGTCTTTGCGAAAGAAATTACACAGATCAGTATCCAAAAGTGCAATGACGTAATCAGGTGGTTGGCCTGCATTAACCTAATTTAGGTCGATTTTTATTTTGGCCTGTGAATCCAAAAAAAAAATTGACCTGCTTTAATGGTTAAATTGGTCTGAGAATATTTTTTTGCTTAATGGCTTCATTAGTAGAATTTTGCGTAATTTCGTTTCGGCTATGCTATAAGTTACATCACTGCGCCTTTTGGGGCCACCTTGGATGATTCGGTATAAACTTTAAAAATTTGCTGCACTATACAGATTTGCAGGATTTTGCATAATCAACTGTTACCTGGCATTTGAAATTTTATGATTTTTATACACATGAGTTACACATGCTGTTCGGATGTATTTTAATCCGGTACAGATTTATAATATATTCGTGTGTGACTCACGCGCACAAAATTTCAAATATCGGTTAACAGTCGGAACGCAAATCCAATAAATATAAATGCCGGATAACCATTAAATATTGTACATGCAGCAATAAATTGAATATGTGACATCTAATAGCAAGATTTTGTGCACAGCCAGTTGCCTGTAAACCATACACTACGCTCCTGGAACGTTAATAGTATATACTGTACTGTATATCAATATCACTTTTTGTATTTTGTTAAACCATTTTCAAAGTATTGTTCATTGAAAATTGTTGAAAATTCAGAAGGCTTGCAATTCGAGTGTTAGCGGATCTTCTGGGAGTCAAAACATTGGTGTGTTGAAAAACTTCTAGCATCTTTAGGAAACCCACATTTACTAAATTTGGATTTAACCTTTAATGAAAGAAAATTCTTTTGTTACAATCATTTTTTAATTAAGCTGCTATTGCTTCAGAAAAATTGGATATTATATTAAATTTAATTGCTGTCGGTTCGGACAAAACAGATATTTCAGATTCAGCTGCAATTACTTCAGGAGTTTTTAAAATTGTTTACCATAGACTTTCTTTTTGACCAATATTTTACACAGTATGATCATTATAACTTATATTAAAGTTTTTAAATAAAATAATATATATGATTATAATTCCCAATACAATTTCGATAAATATTAATAAAATCTTGGTTGTTTGGAATTATAACTTGCGTTATATATTTTTCAATGAATTTTGTTCGTGTCGAACTTTTTTTTTTTGTTTAGCGGCTGCTCGTATGATGCATTTATTATATATTCAAAATCTTTTTGTATTTTTTGCTGGTTGGCAAGAACAGTCTTCATCATGAATTTTGTAAAGACCAGACACACCAAACATACTGAACATGCATTCAAGTGAAAACTTAATTTTAAATATGTTGAAATAGTTGTATCGTTTTGTATTAAGATACAGTATATATTTAAACAGGGGCAGCGTGTAGTCCAAAATTTCCGGATCCGGACTGCAGATAATAACGATCTGGCTCCGAAATCTAATAAAATTTAAAAATTTTCAAAACATTGAGCGAAGATATAAGATATATTGAGAATCATCTGACCAAATTTGATAAGTTTTTTTTTTTTTAATTCTACAGATTCGTAGAATTCAATTAAAAAATATTTCATCGAATTTAGTCAGGTAATCGCTGAGATATCTTCACTCAAAGCTTTAAAAAAATTTTGGCGTAACTTCTATTTTAATAGACGGTTGGATTTTTTCAATTTGAACGAAGATATCGCGACAACCGCATGACCAAATTCGATGGAATTTTTTTTTATTTGAATTCTGCAAAATTGTAGAATTCAAATAAAAAAATTTCATCAGGTGGTCATTGAGATATCTTCGCTTAAATTTAAAAATAATTCGACGCAACTTATATTTTGATAGATGTTTGATTTTCTCCAACTATGAGCGAAGTTATCTTGGTAACCACCTGACTAAATTCGATGAAATTTTTTATTTTTTTTTTAATTCTACGAATCTGTAGAATTCTAATAAAAAATAAAAAAAAGCCATGGGTCATTGAGATATTTTCGATCAAAGGTTTAAAAATAATTCGGCGTAGCTTCTATTACGGTTTGATAATTTTCCAGTTTTGAGCGAAGTTATCCTGGCGATTACTGACCAAAGCTGGAGAATTATTCATAGAATTCAAATAAAAATTTTTATCGGAAATAGTCAAGTGGTCGTTGAGATATCTTTGCTTTAAAAATTTCTAA